GCGGGGGGAGGGAAGGGGCCGCGCGCCCTCCCCGCCCCCGGCGGCCGCCGGCGAGGCGCCTGCCATCCTGCTGCACCACCTGAGCAAGGTGTACCCAGGGGCGCACGGCTGCGACCCCAAGACGGCGGTGGACAACCTGTCCCTGGCCATCTACCGGCGCGAGTGTTTCGGCCTGCTGGGGCCCAACGGCGCAGGTGCTCCTTTCTTTTTGGTGCTGCGGGTGTGAAAAGGAGGCTGGGGCTGGATCGTCGGCTGTGTAAGGGGCGTGCCTTGCGGGGCTGGGATGCGGGCTCGGTGCGCGGCATGGATACCCTGAGCTGACAGGTGCCAGCGAGCTGGCAGCCAACCCCGGCCACCTTCGTAGTCCAGCAGCTGGACACCCCATCACCTCCCCTCCGCCCCCGACCCTCAGGCAAGACGACCACCATCCGCATGATGGAGGGTTTCCTGGAACCCTCCGACGGCGAGGTCATCGTGGGTGGGCACTCCATCCGCAACGAGATGGACACGGTGTACGGCCTGACGGGCGCCTGCCCCCAGCACGACCTGCTCTGGTCGGGGCTGACCGCGCGGGAGCACCTCATGTTTTACGGCAGGCTGAAGAACCTGGGGGGGGAAGCGCTGACCAGTGCCGTGGCCGAAGGCCTGGCCTCTGTCAACCTGACGGCGGTGGCGGACGACCTCGCAGGGAGCTACAGGTGAAGATGGAAGGAGAGGGGGGGAAGTTGGGGGGGGCGGGCGGGGATCGCACATGCACTGTGGTGCCCTGACGACAGCTATGCCTTGGGAACCAGTCCCAATGTTCCAGAGTGGCCGTGTGATCCCTCTGCCGTCCTTCCGTCAGCCAGCTGTGCATTCCTCATCCCAGCCGCCACTTCCAACACCCCTCGTCAGCGGCGGGATGAAGAGGCGGCTCTCCGTCGCCATCGCGCTCATGGGAGACCCTCTGGTGGTGTACCTGGACGAACCCTCGACCGGCCTGGACCCCGCGTCAAGGTTTGGAATGGAGGAATGAGAAGGGGGTTGGTATTGTGCCCTCCTCACTCCTGCGTGCTGGGCATGGCTATCCGTGTGCTGTCCAGGATTACTCAGCCCAGGCCGTGCTGGGTTCCCAGAGAGCACACAGGGGGGCACTTCATTCTCCTCCCCGCCCCTTTCACAGGCGGCTGCTGTGGAACGTCATCAAGAAGGCGCGGCGCGACAAGGCCGTGGTACTCACCACGCACTCCATGGAGGAGGCGGAGGCCCTGTGCGACCGGCTCGGCATCTTCGTCGGTGGGCGGCTTAGTTGCCTGGGAGATCCCAAGGTGCGCTGAGATGTAGAGGCCAGGACGGGAATGGGAGGTGCGCATAATCAGCCACTCACAGGGATCAGAACAAGAATATGGTCCATTGCATGAGGAGTAGAGCCTCTTTTTTGCAAGGAACAGCAGCCCAAGTGCCTAAACAGATGGACAATGAATCTGCAAACCTTACCTCTCCTCCCCTTGATTGCTTCCTCACTGCAGGACCTGACTGCCCGCTTCGGCGGCTATCTGTCCTTCACAATCACGACGCCCCCTCATCAGGAGGCAGCAGCAGCAGCAGTGGTCAGGGTAAGTTTTCGCGCTCATCACCTGTGAGAAGGTGGCTCGTTATTCGGCCATGTGGACACGACAGTCCCTTGCTTGCAACTTGCTCAAGAGAGCTGTATGTCGCAGCAAGTCTTTCCTGGGGTAAACTAGCAGTCAAAGGACCCTCCCACAACCCCTCTGTGTAGAGCATCTCCCCCTCTGCCCGGCCGGTGTATGCTCTGGGAGGCACCCAGAAGTTCGAGCTGCAGTTGCAGGAGACCTCGGTGGATGCAGTATTCGCCACGATGGAGGAGATCAAACTCAAGTGAGCGGTGTGAGGGGTGCTGCCAGTCCATTGATTGCCCCTGGTGCTTGCTTAAATTGAATGGACAGCGATGCTTTGATTGGCTTTGATCCACCACAGTGTTGATCCACCCCCACACATGCAGGGGTGTCTTGGATGTGATCGACTGGGGTGTGTCCAATGCCACCCTGGAGGAGGTGTTTATCAAGCTCTGCTCATCCTCTGGCATAAAACTGTCTGCCTTCACATGATCCTGCTGGCTTCTGTGTCTTTGTCCGAACAAATTGTTGTACTGACCAGATTACAGCCTGGTCCCGAAGTAGATCCTGAGATGCACAATATCTTGCGAGGCGCCCGCGCGTTTGGATCCCGGGCGCGACGGTATGTTCATCTCGTACCGCCTGAGCATTTCAAAATCCAGCCCGCTCGCCACATACATACATTGTCCCGGCATCTGTTGGTCCCCCGCTGAAGGCGACGCGGCGACAGGGAGACACCGACACGCCCTGGGCCCCACAAGTCGTTCCAGACACGGTGAGGGGGAAGCGCGGGATCTGGGGGGTTAGAGAGGACTCGATACACTGCATGAAGCCTGGAACTCTCATGAGAAGTTCATCATGGTGGGCGCGCGCCTCTTTGAAGGGTGGCTGGTTCGTCTTGTGGGTCAGCTGCCTACAGGCACTCGGGGCCAGGCAAGCGGGCGGTGCGCCATCTGCGCCTGACGCTTTTCCTTGGTGAGTTCACGAAGTTGTAATCTCATAACGAAGCCGGCGATAAGGCTCCTCCGCAGGCCATGAGTGTGGGTGACACCGCGGAGGACTGGGAAGTCCTGACGGGGGTGGACGACTCCGAAGCAGGCACTGAGCCACCCCGGAGCCCCGGTCCTTCCCTCCTAGATCTAGGTGCGACAGCGGGGCTTTGGACTTCAAGGTGCTGCACCGGCGTCTTTACTGTCCTAGAATATCGACAGGAGCCCCCAGGTCCCACCTACTTTCATTCCACTATCCTCCCACCCCTCAATAATAAAAGGCGAGGACGGCCCTCAGGAGGCGCTGCCGAGGCTCTGCCCCCCCCTGAGTCCCGACCAGGGTCTCCTGGTCGAGGTGGTGACGCCGCAGGGCTGGGAGGGGGACGTGAAGGAGGCGGCCGACCCCGCAGACCTGGCACAGAAGGACCTGACGGCCAGCTTCGTGCAGGTGACGACGCCCCCCTGCGCCGCCCAGGCCCCCCGCTCCGGCGCGACCCCGGACGCCTTTGAGGCCAGGGACAGGTGCGAGCGAGGGGAGGACGACGCGGAGCTGACCGACCGCCCCCTGCGCGTCCTGCGCGCGGAGGAGGTGGCCTCCCTCCACGCCTCCATCGACCGGGCCGAGAAGAGGTGGGTGGGCGGTCGATGAGGCGATCGACCCTGTCACCCTGCAGGTCTGCGCAGCGGCGGCAGCGAGTCAGGACCTTGTTCCCAGCAGGCCCCCGCATTGCGACCCTCAACCACCCCAATCATTCCCCTCTACACAGGGCCCTCGCCACCGAGAAGCAGCTGGCCAGCGCCCGGGATCGGCTGCGGCGCCGGGACCTGCAGCTCCAGTGCGAGTCTTTCGATGCCTGGAGGTTGAGGCGCGTGGCGCTGCTCGCCTTCTCGACGCTAGCATTCCTGGGCCTGCGCTCCGTGCTGACGCACGAGGCGGTGGTGCGCACCTCCATCGCGCCCCGTCAGCCCACCAGGTCCATGGACACCCTGTTCTGAGGTACGACTCAGTGGTCTGATATGTTGGGGGGGTTGGGTGATGAGGTGTTGGTCAGGAGTGTGTATGGAACACACGGATCACCATGGTGTGAGTGGCTGCGCTCGCAGACTCATGGCGGGCTTGAATGCAGGGTGCTTGCCCACGGCCAGGACCAGGGTTGCTTGGTACAATAGGTCACCTTCTTGATGCATCCCGAACGTGGCTGGTGCCAGGTATCTACTCAAACCCCCTCTCATCCCAAAATCTATACATTCAGAGGCACGCTGGAAGGACACACTGCACCGGCTCCAGCCCGAAATACAGCAACAAAGACCTCTGCCCTGTACCCTTGGCGCACACGCATCAATCGCCGCCCTGTATCCTGCTCCAGCGCTTCTGTCCCGAATCCCTTGTACGCCGACCCCGCCCGCGCCTGAGGCAGCGGCTGAGCGACGACGCCCCGCACGGCCAGCTGCTCACCAGCCTGAGGGCGCACAACAGCCTTTCTTTTCCCCTTTCCCCACTACTCTCCTTCCCCGTCCAGCTGCATGACGACTGCCTGCCACTCTGTGGTCGGGAGGGGGCTGTACCCTATCTGAGAAGTAGTCGCTGAGAAGATGCCGTGGGCCCGACGGTCCTGCGCACAATTTTTTGCAGCTGTATGATAGCACTCTGATCCCTCACACTACATGTGAATGATGAAGATCAAAATGCCCCTGTATGCCGGTTCCCCATGTAATCTAGCAAACGAGTGTGGCCGAGCAATGGTGTGGACATGTGCCTGGAGACTCTCGACAGAGGCCCGCCGTCTGAAATTTGATTCGAGCGACCGGAGGGATCGCTGGCTCCGTCACCATGCCGCTGGCAGGACCAAGTGTGATACCTTTTGTCGATCACTTGGACACTCAGGAGACACGAATCCTTCCTTGTGCGAGCTCCGTCTTCGATTGCGTGCAGTAGTCGGCCCGGTCCCCGTTTAAACTTCGAGATCCCCGGCACGATGGTGCTGGTGCTCGCGGTGCACACCGTGAAGGAGGTCTCCGCCACGGTGCCCTTCTCCACGATCTTGCTCCAGGACATCGTGGTGCACAAGAAGGCCCCCGCTGAGCACAAATGTCGCCAGGTAGCGAGGTGACGGGCAGGCAGTGGTAGTGTGGGAGGGCCCTTGACCCGTGGCTCTACGCGCTTGGCAGGGCCCTTGACCGCCGGCCCAGGGTGCCCGCATTGCTCAAGGTCCCCACACTGTCTGATACCCCCTCCTGACCCTCCCCACCCCCCGCAGCTGATCCCCACCTCCGGCAGCACCTCCACCAGCCTGTGGGACACCCCCGACCCCGCGGCCCTCCTGGCCTGGCTGGAGGGCGCAGTGGCGGTGGACGTGGCCCACTCCGTGCACGAGGTCCAGGAGGAGTTCGCGCTGGGGCTGGGCGACGTCGCGCGCGCGCGCGGCGCCGATGTCGTGGCGGCCGCCGGGCGCGACGTGGCTGACACGACCGGCCGCGCCGTGCTGGACCTGGACGCGCGCCTGCACCTGAGCGAGAAGGCGGGGCGCGCGGCCGACGCAGTGCGCGACAGCGCGGTGACCAAGTCCACCGTCGCGGCGCTGAACAAGGCGGGAACGCGGGTGGCCGACGTGACCACCCGCGTGCTGGAGAGCGACCGCGTGGCCGCCGCCACCGACGCCATGGGCGCGGGGTTCAAGAAGCTGGGCGCCTCCTTCACGCGCTTCGTGCGACCGGGGGAGCCGGCAGCGGCGGCCGGTGCCGGCGGCGACGCGGTGAGTATGAGATGTGGGATGGCTTGATGGGCGGGGGTGTCCTGGGGAGTTCTAGGACTGAAGATGTTGGTCTGGGAACTGTTGCCCATCCCAGCAGGGAACGCCTTCCTGCACCAGCCTGTTCGCATGGCACACCATGAGCAGTGTGCTTGTACAAGGGATCCATCCGAGCAGCCATCTTCCAGCACACTCCTGAGAATGACTCAGCTGACAAGATCCTCCCCCCCCACCCCACCACACACTCCCCATGAAGCCCCTGAGCGGTGACATGGCGACCCAGCCCGCCACCAAGCCCCCAACGCACTTCAGCTTGAACGAGGTCGATGACCCTCGCCACCCATGAGCATCCCGGCAACCAATCCTTCACCGCCATTTCATGCATGCCGTGACTGTAGAGCACTGCTCCGTACTGTGTATAGGTTTCCCTTTCCAGCAGCATCGCCTTTGTGCAATCGGTGTGTTTTCAGCCGTCGAGATGTGAATCTGCTGGAGCTGGATTCGAGCTATTGGCTGGAAACCAGCCCGTGCGTTGCGGTGGGAAAGCAGGAGCGGGATCTGATCCAGCGCACCACAGCATGCATACAGGTTTGGTTTCAAGCCTCGTGAGTCAGTACTTACGCTGATAAACCTGCTGGCAATCGATGGTGGCGAGAAGATGGGTCTCGGGACTGCACCCCGACAGGTCATGATGTGTGGGGACCGACCGCTCGGGGTGCGCAGCCTGCCTGTGCCGCGCCGACACTCGTGTGTTGAACCCAGAACCTCGTATACGACACCAAGTACATGCCGGTGGTTCCCTTGTGTCGCCCCGGGAGGTGGCAGTCGAGCGCCGCATAAGTTGCAGACCCGAACCCATAATCCTGAGACGCGGGATGGCAACAGGTATATATTGTGAATCACATGCTGATTTCTCATCGACTATACTTGAACAGGATCGTTCTATAGTTGGTACACCTAGTCTGTATTCCTCAATTCAGACAAGCTCCTCAGGATGGATGGCGATTCACAGTGGACTCGCCTGAGCGTGATGTCTGCCCGCTGACTGCCGGTGCCCTCGTGGCCTGGTGCGCGTGTGCGAGATGAGTGCCTGCCAGTGTCACATTCCGACCTGGCGGACGGCAAGCCCACATTCCGACATCCTTTTGCTTGTTTCGAGGATGCCTCTGCCCTGCACTGCTCCCACACGACATCACCGCGCCAGGATGAGGGTGTGGTCCAGCCCCGCCGCCAGCCCGGCCACCTCCTCCCCGTCCAGCATGGGCAGCAGCTCCGGATGGTGCACCTCCTCCAGCTGCCCCGTGCCCAGCCGCCCGTTGGCGCCGCTGCCCCAGCTGGCGCACATGCCGGCCATGGCCCCCGCGTGGTCGTTGTCCTTCAGCTCCGCGCCGTCCTGCTCGTCCCGTTCGTCCGTGACCAGCACCGAGTGCACGCGCCCCGCGGCCAGCAGTGCGTTCCTGGCGAGGAAAGCAGGAACGCGGTGCATATGGGGGGGGATGAGCATGAAAAGTGCTCGGTGGGCCCTCACACTCGTCTGCAGGAGGGCAATCGCTGGACCCTCCAATGCGTTGCCTGGCGTGCCTTCGAGGCGGGGCGCCGCTGGTTCCTCCCCGGTCCACGAACCTGTTGCGCGGCTGGCCGTACACGAGCTGCGGCGTGGCCACCACCTCGGCCGCCTCCCCCGCCCCGAGGCCCAGCTGGCCTGCGCCGTTCCAGCCCCAGCTGTACAGCTGGCCGCAGGGCGTGAGGGCCAGGCAGTGCCCCAGCCCCGCCGTCACCTTGGCAAAGGCGGGAGCGCCCCGCACCAGCCACGCGTCGGCCGGGCCAGGCTGGGAGGTGTGTGTGGTGGGCGCTGCGGCATTGGGACGGCCGGGCTGGGCTCTCAAAATGCCCGGCAATGGGGCGGCACCCCCTTGGCTGGCCAATGGCGCCTGGCCTGGCCTTGGAGAGCCTGACTCCCGAACGATGGTGGCCCCTCCCGCCACCCCAACCCCCACATCAGCCTCCCGCCTGCCCAGCTGTCCCAGGGAGTCGTCGCCAAAGGTGTACAGCCTGCCGTCCGCCCCAAGCGCCATGCTGTGGTCGTACCCCGCCGCCACCTGGACTATGCCGCGCCCATCCAGCGCATGCACCCGGCGCGGTGCCCAGACGCAGGCCGCCGCCAGCGCCTCCTCGTCGGCGTCCTCAGGAGGAAGCGTGTGCCCCAGCTGCCCCGCGGCCGGCCAGCCCCAGGCCCAAACCCCGCCGTCCACGGTCAGCGCCAGCGCATGGCCCCAGCCGGCGGACACCTGGGTCACGGCCGCCGCGTCCGCCAGCGCCTCCACACGACGCGGCGCCGGCGCGGCCGTCTCCCCCGGCCCCAGCCCCAGCTGGCCACGCCGGCTGGTGCCCCAGGCGTGGAGCTCGCCGTGTGTGGTCACGGCGAAGCCGACCACGCCCGAGGCGGCCAGGCGCGCGATGGGGGGTAGGCCGGGGATCGGGCCCGGGGGGGAGTGGGTGTAGGCCTCGTCTCGCTGGCGGCGGCCCAGCTGCAGGGCCTCGTTGGCGCCCCAGCTCCACACCTGGCCGCGAGCAGTGAGGGCGAAGGAGGTGTAGTGCCCCGCAGCCACGCCGATCAGGTCGGAGGGGAGGCCGGGCACGGGCTCTGGCTCGTACCAGTCCCCGGCATCGGGTCGACCGAGAGCTCCCTGGTTGGGGGGTGGGGGTGGGGGGGAAAAGGGGGCCTTGCGCGCAGGCTCCATTTGGAGGAGGCTGTTGTGTGATTTCGGGACAACCGTGGCAGGCATGACTTATATCACCCCCGCCTCCCCACAACACACATACCTGGGCGCCGGAGCCCCAGGCCAGGACCCTGAAACGACCGGGGATGTCATGGTAACAACGAAACTGTATGGCTCCTAGTATTGAAGGCGGAATGCGAGATATGCTTGAGAGCAAGCTAGCCATGCCGTCAGATCGTTCACGTGCCGAAACTGATCACTTCCAAGGGCGCCATGCCGGGGCTGCCGACACCCGGCCAGGGATCTGCATCCATGTCGGTCCAACTTAATCCTGCCATATTTGGCACGCGGCAATCGTGAACCTGTAACCCTGGCCTGGCCGTGGCCTTGCCCCAAAGCTGCCTGCGGTGCCTGCTGTGAGGCTCGCACCTGTGGGAACTCGCGAATCAAGTCGAGTAGTTGCCAGCGGGGTGGTCCTCGTGTCGACCGCGCTCTGTCAGCAGTCGTGCTGCACCAGGGACTCCCAGACATCACATTCACCCGGCTGTCGTCCAGGATCGGGGCGGTGTGTCGGCCCAGGTGCCCTGTGCTAGGTGCTCTGTCAGAGGGCTGGAGGATCCATGTGGACTTGATTCACCCCTTTGATCCCAACAAGGGTGAGTCCACCAGCCCGGGATCCCAGCAACGTTACTAGTCCTTAATTGAAAATATTTGAAGGGCCATGCACGGTGCATCACTTTCCTCTCCACCCTCCCTCAACAGCGGGCAAAAACAGTCTGTGCAGGGGTTGTAACAGTTTGCCTGGCCCTCTAAATCATCCCTCTCCCAATCTGCAGGGAGACTGCCCCATGGATCCGCAACCATCTAGCAGGGCGTCGTCGCGCCGAGCTGCCTCCCTGTCCGGCAAGAGTGGGGACGAGACATCCGACCGCCTCAGCTCCGGTAGACCGCGCCGGCAGCGGCGTCTGGCAGGTCCCCTAGATGGGCAGGCCTTCGACGCCGCCACGCCCGCCAAGCGCCCAAGGCTGCGGCGAGCCTCCCGAAGGAGGATGGAGGAGGACCGTCCGGAAAAGTCCATCTACGACAAGCTGCTGAACCGCGCCCGCCACCAGCTCTCCCGCATCAGGTGACTGGCGGGGAGGGTGGTGTGGTGGAGGGAGCGCCTGAATCTCTACATGCAAGTCGGACGCAGCGTGTGCACTGCAGCAGGAGGTCCAATCCTTGGAGTGATCGGCCCGAGTGATCTGACTCGTGTGTGGCCCTGCACACTATGCGCCGTCCGCGTTCCGCCTGTACCGTCCTCAGGCAGGAGCAGGCGCTGGTTGATGCCTATGCGGCGGACGGCTGGCGGGGGGCGGCACGCGAGAAGGTGAGACCCCTGCAGGAGATCCAGCGCGCCAAGGACCAGATCCGGAGGTGCCGCGAGATCGTGCGGGAGTGTGTCAGGACCTGCGAGGAGGCAGGTGGGTGTCGGGTCGCTAGAGCTTCATTCCATTCAGAGGATGTGACACTGCCGCTGTGCTTGGTGCCATGCCTGTCAGGCACGCCTCAGTAGCCGGTGTGATTACATTACTTCCCCACCCACACACAGAGGGAGACACCCCAATCCCAGCCAGCTGCTTTGATGAGGAGGGGGAGCTCGACTCGGACGCCATCTTCTGCGCCAAGTGCGGAAATCGGGAAGCTGACGACGTGAGTTCCACACGTTGGCAGGGGCCCAGAACTGAGCGGAAAGAGGGAAGGGCGGTGAGCATCCAATTCTACGGGCCCGTCAAGGCACCTGTTCCCTCCGGTGCCCCTCTGGGTTTGTTTCCCCCCCTGCAGAACATCTCCTCGCCCCGCCCACCCCGATGATGCCTGCGCGGCCACTCAATGCCCCCACCCGCCCACTGCCGACAGGACAACGACATCGTTCTGTGCGACGGTCCTTGCAACCGAGCCTACCACTGCAAGTGCATCGTGCCGCCCCTGGACGTCAGCACCCTGACAGAGGATGAGGGCTGGCTGTGCCCTGCCTGCGACCACAAGGTGAGCCGCGGGGGGGCGGGGGCCTGGGCAGTGCTCATGACTTCAGGGTTTCATGATTCAATAAGGGGACCCTGGGTCGCCTGTCCCGGGGGAGTGTATTGAAGAGCGTAAGGCCAGGTGTCCCCCGATCTGCCACCCTTCCCCACCTCCTCTTCACCTCCTTTATCGCCATAGGTGGACATCCTGTCGCTCATCAATGACGAGTTCGACACGGAGTATGGGCTGGAGGACGGGTGGCAGCAGATCCTGGAGCCTGGCAGCCTCCCTGCCAGTGACGGGGCCGAGGAGGGGGAGGCTGTGGCCGTGGGCGAGGGCGGCGCGGGCTTGCTAGTGGGCGGCGCCGACCTGCCTTCGGAGGACGAGGAGGATTCGGATTTCGAGGGGTGAGGAGCAGGGGGAGTGGTATGGGCTCTGGTGCATGCACCCTCTGCACGGATCGACACAAGGGCAGCGCTGCAGGGTGCCCATCTGTTTGACCTGCACTGTGCCTCCTGGCCTCTTCTCCGATCGCAGTGACAGCAGCTCTGACTCGGGAGTAGCGTCCCAGGCGAGCGAGGATGGACGGAGGGGCGAGGGAGCCGGGGCCGCAACGGCGTCACCGGGCTCAGACCCCACCTCCCTCCCCTCCAGCCCCGCCTCCCAGCGATCGGACGCGAGCTCCGGCTCCAGCGGCCTCGATTCGGAGGGCAGCCTGGGGTCACTGGGCGAGGGCGTGCGGCAGGACCTGGGGCGGCGCCGCCCGGGGCGCCCCGCGTCCAGCCTCGCGAACAGCTCCGCGGGCGTCGGGCCCGAGGACCCAGAAGCGCAGACGCTGGTGGTCGAGGGCCGGCGCAGGCGTGCGCAAGTGGACTACCGAGCCCTGCATGCCGCTATGTTTGGCACGGTGGGTCAGGGCGAGGCCCATGCTGGTCATGGCTCATGGTCTGTACAAAGGCCGCTGCTCCTGATAAATAAGAGGGTGGGGTTGTTGCTTCGTTGGGCCTCCAGAGTCTTCTCGCATACAAGCTTTCCCGCAGCATTCTTCACACCCTGCCATCACCCCCGCCTCGCAGGCAGAGGCGGAGGATGGCTCTGGAGAGGAGGACGAGGTGTGGTCGCCCCGCACGCAACCGGGGCTGGCCCTGGAGTCTCCAGGCTAGCCTACGACGTGGGCGGGGCTCTCTGTTAAGAGCCTGCTGCTGCAGGATGTTGGCGACCCTGGCTGCCGAACGTCGGTCTCAGGGGCCTTGTGTGGCGATGCCGCTCATCGCTCGACGACGCTCGGACCCCGACCCTGCTAATCCTCGACATACAGGGAGCCGTGTACTTGCAGACTGAAAAAGATGCCGTATCGAGTGTCAGAGGGAGCCGAGGACAAGGTGGACAAGGGAGGGAAGCCGTGACCTGCCACCCAGTATCACAGGAGTAGGCACGTAGAGGGTTGGGTCCCAGCAGGGTGGAGAATGGGGACATGCACGGGCTGCGGGAGGTGAGGGGATGCTCACGGAGGTAGGGAGGGGGATTGGGAGGGGAGGGAAGACATGCCAGGATGTGACGGGGCCCTCTCGGCAGCGGCGGCTGTGAGATGCTTGGCAAGGTGCGGCCCCCGCACGCTTCATGGCTGCTGGTAGTACCCCTGAGGAGGTTTGGGGAGGGGGAGGGGGTCACGGAGAGTGGCGAGCGTTGTGCACGGCGTCCACCGCACTGCCCCCCATGGGGCATTCGGCCCTCCCCCCTGATCCACCTGGTGGTGCGGCGGGGGAGGCGGGGGGTACCCCTGGTACTGCTGCGGGTGATAGTACCCCCCATAGGCTGCGTAGGGCTGCGGGGCCATCGCCCCGCCCCAGGACCCCGGCGGCGGGTAGCCAGGGTAACCCCCCGGCCGCGCCTGGTACTGCTGCTGCTGCTGCTGCGTGGCGGGGTGGCCGCCCGGCCTGCCATAACCCTGCTGCGGCGCGGCGCCGCCCTGCCGTGGCGCGCCCTGCCTCGGCACGTACTGCTGCGCGTACTGCTGCGCCGGCGCCGGCTGGCCGCCCTGCTGACCGCCGGCGGCGCCCGGCGCCGCCGCCCCATGCGTCGGCGTGGGCGTGGGTGGTGTGGTGCCGGGCGGGTACTGCACGAAGTCGCGGGACCGCTCGCCGGGGCGGATGACCAGGTCGTTGTGGCGCGAGTAGACCAGGCGCATGACGTTGGCGCCGTCGCCGTACATGGGGTGGCCCTCCAGCGCCGCCTTGGCCGCGGTGGCGGTCGACTGCTCCGCATACTGCAGGATTTGTTATCAGAGGGGGGGAGAGGAGGGGGGCCATCAATCAGCGGCATGCTTTACGGTGGTTGCATTGTGCAGCAGTGCACACAACCACTCACAACGGGCAGCCCGGCCTGCCTGCCCTCACCCTGATGACATGTGCATGACCCTCCCACTCCCACGCCCCAGCCCCCCTTCGTCTGGGTCGATACTCCCCCTCGCCAGGGCCCATTCCCCAGCTCGCCCCTCTCCCAAGGCAGAACAACGAAAAGGGTGCCCTGCGACCCACTCGATTCCCGTTTTCCACACACCTGCACCAGGGCCACGATTCGCGCGTCGCGCTCGTAGGTGTGGATCTTCTGCACCGCGCCGTAGGTGGAGCAGATGGTATGCAGCCCCTCCAGGGTCACGGGGTAGGTGGCCTGGTCAAAGGTGATGCTGAGCACGCGCGTGGCGCCGCCCGCGTCGGCGGCTGGGACCAGGGAGCTGATGTAGGCGCGGTTGGGCTCGCCCCAGGCCAGCTCGGGGCGCGTGAAGTCACGCGTGTGCGCCGACTGCACGGGGATGACCAGGTTGCGCGCGGAGCAGTACTGCAGGCCCTCCACCAGCGGCGCGTCCCCCGGCGCGGCGGGGGCGGCGCCGGGGTCAAACGCGCCGGCGGGGAGCCGTGCGCCGGCCAGGCCGCCCTTCGCGGCCTGCGCCTGCGCCGCGTCGCCGTACTGGACGAAGGCTAGTACCTCGCTGGGCCCCTGCGGCTGCAGCGCCATCTTCAGCACGGGGCCAAAGGCCGCGAACACCGCGTTCAGCACCTCCAGCGTCAGCAACGGGGCCAAGGTTTCCTGGAGCGGGGGGGGGGAAGGGGGGAAGAGCTCTTTGGGAGGGTTGGAAGCACGCGAGGGAGGGCAGGATGAGGAGTCCCGGTTGACAGAAGAAAGGGACCTGGGGGGCCGTGTGCCAGCATGACACCGGCGCCCTAACTTCGGGCTCTGATATGGGTGTCCGCGCGCACTCGGTGCCTCGCCGGGCAGCCGCCAGGGATCAAGCAGGAGCATGCAAGGAGGTGGGCCATCCATCAGCCGCAAATCAAGCACACGAGGGACAGACCACTTTGAGGAATGTAGCAGAATAGATGCCCCACCCACCATACCGAGATGTGGGTGATGCGGGCCATGACGACGGGGGAGGGGCTGGTGTAGGAGGAGGTGACATTGGTGAGGTGTCGCGCCCCGCGTAGGCCATGAACACCGGCCGGCCCCGCAGCTGGCAGATGGGACGGGAAGGCGTGTGTCAGCGGGGGTGTTGCGCATGTGGGAGGGGCGGGAGGGTGCCCTGGCGCCTGGATGCCTGAGACTCATGGTGAGCCTGCCAGGCGCACCTCCAGTGCAGGCGGAGGCACTCAGGCGCTGCATCCCACACGTATGCCAGTCATTGCCAGGGACATTGCACCGATTGGCGTCAAGATCGAAGACCCCTAGTGGCAACCCCTGTCACCAACTTGATCACCAACTCAGCAAGGCAATCACTGTTCTGACCCCCTGGCATCCCTCACCCTTGCTGGGTCGGCGGGGCCTTGATACCGGGTGACAATGGCGATGGAGGAGTCCAGCTCAGCGAATTCCACAAACGCCTGGTTTTTCTTCTCCCCAATCCGTCCCTTGACTGCGATCACGCTGCCGAACTCGCTGCACATTTCTATGATCTCCTCGTCCGTCACCTCGAAGGGCAGGTTGCGCACATGGATGACCTGGCACGGAGGTTGGAACATATGATGTCCTTCAACCAAAGGCCATCGGTCACGGCTGGTCACACAGCCACACTACATTCGCGCATCGGTACAAACCCTGCGCAGGCAATCCCTCGAGACCAACACCAATACCATCGCCAATACCTTGGTGGGCTGGGAAAACTGAGCATGGGTGTGATTATCATAGTACATGGCTGCCAAGTCACCCTCTGATGACGATTGGCGCAATGATAGGGACGTTTACCAATGGTCCAGGCAGCAGTGCTGTATCCGGCCTCCCCAGAGTAGAGGTCCGGCACGCGACGACACTCCCCGGGAAAAGAAGGGAAATACTCACTGATGCATGCAATCACTTGGTGCTCTGTGTCGTACCATGCATCGGAGGGGGGAACCTCTCAGCATTGGGGTTAGGACGCATGCCCCCATTTCTTTCTCAAGCGGCTAGCAGGTCAGCCGGCCTCCTCCCCTCCTCATGGGGCGATCCAACAGCCAGCGACACCGACAGCTCTTCCCGGGAGCATGTCGACATGATGCGGCACCACACTGATCGCCTTCAATTTCTGCCACAATGAGTCAAAATATTATTTGTTGAGCGCCTCGACCTTTGCATGGGCCGTGCTTCTCCATGGAGTGCACGCGCCTCTTCCGTACCGTGAAGCTTTCCAAATGCAGCATGCAGGCGTTGAGGACGCCGACAACGTGTCAGGCTGTGAGATTATGGGAGGTTGGAATTACATTGACGCTCCTGCAACATAAGAGGGCGCCACGCAAGACGAGTGGTCAGGGCCGGGTGTCGGCAGTGCTCCCCATGTCAGGCCTGAGCACTCGTGACGAGGACTGTGCAGAGACTGCCGTCATGGAGGCTGGAGATGGTGGGGATCCCACCTCCGACATAGTTTTGGAGCAAGTGACATATGAGGTGGGGCAAATGGGTGGCGACACGGGACATGTGCACTGAAGAGTGGCAGCAAGACTGGCGCTCATACTGTTTGGCAAGTGTGGGGCATCAAGAACCAGATGCTGTCCCACGCATCTTCCTTCCTAGAGTAACACTACCTGCCCTACGTTTGATGGACACCTCCACAGGCTGGCGTGTACAAGGCTGTGGGGAGCTTCCTGACAGCTGCCAGCCCGCCCACTGTGTACGACCTCCTCACAGACTACCCTACTCTGCCCCGGATCTTCACCAGCATCGCCGAGTGCAGGGAGGAGGCAGGGAAGGAGGGGGACTCACTCCTGCGACAGGTGATGCTTGGTCGGCTGCTCCCCCGCATCAAGGGCTGGCGGCTCGGTCCTCGTGTGAATGAGATCACCTGTTGCGGCTGACAACCCCCTGGCCCCTGCCTCGAGCGATCCCGCTGGGGAAAATACAGCTTAATACTGCCCTGCCGGCCCACAGCGCAGCCCCACCCCGCCCCGCCGGTACCCCCTGCCTCCGCAGACCTGCCTCTGGGAGTTCCTCGGCTTCTCCGGCCAGTTTGACAGCCTGCTGCGTGTGAGCGAGGACCCAGCCATGCACCGCGTCAGCTTCAGCCTCGTCCCCGGCCAGTCCGGGTTCCTGGCGGACCTGACAGGCACCTGGTCGGTGCAGGCCGCGCCGGGCGACGCGGGGCTGACCAGGACGCAGTACAGCCTGGCGGTACACCTCGCCAGCAAGCCGCCGCACGCCATCGGGTCCCTGGCCAAGGCCATCTTTGCGTCTCAGGTGATGGTTATCTGGAGGGGTGTGTAACGAGGGGCTCCAGGTGTGCACGTTGGCCCAGGGACCGGTTGCGGGCAGGGCGATGGTCGCCCATCGGGCTGCTCGACGCGGCGGTGTCCCGTTTCGAGGGGCATCCGTCTCCCAGGGCATCTGCGCACGCACGCGGTTCGCTAGCACGAGCCGTTGCAACAGCGTGCCCCCCCTCCCCACAATCACGCCCCTACACCCTGCAGGTGAAGGCCATGCTGTCGGATCTGCAGCAGGCGGTGGGTCGGTGAGGACCCCAGGATGAGCTTGCCAAACCCTGGCGCACCTTTGGCCTCGCCCGTTTGCCGCCCACTGTCCAGCCCCGTCTCCTTCTCCCGTGCCTGAGCCCATGTTTCAAGTCAGGCAGACCGACACGGTGGTGTGTGCAAGGTGAAATCTGTGCCCGTGGGGGCCACAGGGGCATGGCGTGGGGGGGGGGGGTGCACAAGAGGAAGCATCAATGTCAAAAGGGACGGTGATTTGAGGGGTGGACATCAACTGGTGGATGGGTGTAGCAAGCTGCTGATCGTGTGTCAGAGGGCCCGGGGGGGGCCAGATGTTTTCCATCCGGGCCCCTGGGCGACATGGGGGTTCTGAAGTCTCCAGAGCCCCAGCATGTGGGTTGGGTTGCAGCATTGGATGAAGGGGGGGGGGGGGGGGCGCGGGGGCAACAGTTGGCGGAAGGCTCGAGGGGCAACAGTTGGCGGAAGGCTCGAGGGGCAACAGTTGGCGGAAGGCTCGAGGGGCAACAGTTGGCGGAAGGCTCGAGGGGCGGTGAGTGGGTCTTGCTGGTGCGACCCCAGGGCAGCCGCCGAGGATCGGAGTGGGCGGGTGGCAACATCGCCGGGTGGCGTGAGGGTGGGGGGATGGGGGCGTGCGGGCCCCTGCCCTTCTCTTCTCTCTGGACAGCGCGCGCCACCCCCGCGCCTGCGTCAGAAGAGGAGCTCGTAGACGCTGGAGGCGCGGAGGACGGGCCGGTACGAGTCCATGGTCTCGTTGAGCATTCGGTCGGCAGCGGCGCGCTCGCGCTCGCGGTCCTCGCGCCTGCGCTCGGCCCACGCCTGCGGGTGCCGCGCCGCGATGAGCTTGCCCACCTCGCGCAGCGACACCGCGCCGCGGTAGACGTCGGGCTGGCGGCACTCGGGGCAGACGCTGCGCCGCGGCACGTGGCTGACGATGGAGGAGAAGGTGCCCATGGCGCGCCCGAACCCCGCGGCCTCCAGCACGCAGCGCTTGCAGAACTTGTGCCCGCACACCAGCCCCACCGGCTTGTACATCACCTCCAGGCAGATGGGGCAGGCCAGGTCGGCCTCGCGGAAGCGCGTGCGCGGCCGCGCCGCGTCGCCGCCGGACGACCGCGCCGCGCCGGGGGCGGGGGTCGGGCCCGAGGCCACGGCGTAGGGCCCTTCGCCGCCCGGGCGCCCCGCCGAGCGCGGCGCGGAGGAGGCCGCGCCGCTGGGCTCCGACAGGATGGCCGACAGCGCGCGGCTGTCGGCGCTGCGCGCGGTGGGGGACAGCCCCTCCCACTCCACGTCGCTGGAGTCCAGCAGGAAGCTGGGCGACTCGCAGATGGCCGCCAGGCCCTCGTCGCGCTGCAGGCGCAGGCTGCTGGTGGTCACGAAGGACGGCGCGGCGGAGGGGCGGAGGGGGCCTGCGCCCCCGCGTCCCCGGTACTTTGGCGTGGTGGGGGGCGACGGCGCCGCCGGCCACCGCC